CGGCGCGGTCGAGCGGCGACCCCCCTCCCGGGTCCTTTTCCGGGACGGCGCTGGTCTTCGCCCTGGACCGCCCCGAGCCGGATGTGGGGGTGGTCTCGGCGCTGCGGGGGCAGCTCCAGCGGGACCTTTTCGGCCGCGAGAGTGTGACCCTGCTCGAGGGCGCGCACAGCGGGGCGGTGGTGAAGCTTATCAATGCTTGCCTGCCCTTGTGTGCCTTCGGGGCCGGGCTTGTGAGTAATGTCTACGCCGGAAGCAATGCGTCGGCCCTGGCGGCATACGCCCAGCATGCCCTCAGCGCTACAGAGGCGCTCATCAATGGACTGGTGGGTCTTCCTGCCCACACACCGATGCCGTCGTGCCTCTGCGCTACGCTGTACTCTACGTGCACCAACTACGGTCTTCGAGACTTCATTTTGGGGAGGCAGTTCGACTTCCACTTTAAAAAGGCATTTGCCCTTCAGGCCGTATACTCCGGAAATGACTATGCAGCCTTTTCATCAACTGTAAATGGCTTGCATACGCTCATGAAGAGCCGGTCGGTGAGCTCTCCTTTCTATGAGGTAATTATGGATACTTTTAGCACCTTGCTACGTGCCTCTGTGGTTGGTGCAGGACTCGTAAAGGAAGGCTACTATGACTATCGTCAACCAAGTACTACACCATTTTTAGAGCACGCCATGAAAATAGACGAGGCGGTGTTTTCTGAAAATGAGACAGATTTCGAAGCCGCAAGGGCCCGGTTTATAGACGTATTATCTCATGATCCCAAATAATCACATTGGATTAGGTATGTATCGGATTGAAAAAGATTTTGATTTAGTCCTTTGAATAGAAGAGGTTGAAGTTCTTCTCTTTTTATTTATTTATCTGAGAGATAATAAATCGCACAATTAAAGAAGCACCCTTTCGCTTGGGAGTGTACATTATATTTTGTTCATCAGGGATGTGGATGGATACGCATATGTGCATGTGTATGACCCTTTTATTTACTCTGAAGTTAATTCTTTGGTCCCGATAAGTTATTTTACATATTTAGAATTGGTTGCTTTTTTAGAAATTAAACAAAGCCGTTAGCCTATCTGGCTACAAAAGTTTTAGGAAAGTGTAGGATTGTGTGGGTGAATGACTCGTATTACTCTTGAGTTGCTTCGAAAGCGCTCTGAACATAACGAAGGCTGTCTCAGCAATTTAAAGGAAATCACTTTACATCAGCAGGACATTGAAAAGATTGAGCTTATTGGGGATACTTGCCGGCAGTTAGAGATCCTGTACTTATGCAATAATTACATTAGTAGAATCGAGGGTTTACGGCATCTCAAGTGGCTGAAGTATCTGAACTTGGCGATTAACAACATCACCCACATTGAAGGTCTGGAGGGCTGTGAGGCGTTAGAGCGACTGGACCTCACGCTTAATTTTATTGCCGACCTTACCACTTTAGACACGCTACTTGCGAATCCTTTCCTAGAGACTCTCCACCTCACCGGGAACCCATGTACCCAGGTGGAGGGCTATCGCGGCTACGTCTTGCACACCCTTCCACAGTTAAAAGATCTGGACGGGAGTGAGATCATCCGCGCCGATCGCATCACCGCGCGGCAGTCCGAGCGGGTGATTGAGAAATCGATAGGCGACGAGGCCCTGAAAGCGCGTGAGGCGGCGCGCCTCAAGACCGAGATGCTCGCGAAGGGCATTGATCCGTTTCCTCCCAAGTATAACGACAAAGGCGAGCGGGTGTATGGCCACACCCCGGAGGAGCGGCTTCAGATGCTGCGTGAGCAGGAGACCCTTGAGTCGGAGCGGCGCCGCAAGCAGGAGGAGCCCGTCCCCGGGTCCATCTCGGCCCTCCACAAGGAGTTAAACGCCAAGCCCGCGCCGTTGACCCCCGAGGAGGAGATTCGGAAGTATGGACGGCGGCTAATGCGGAATGAGGGCAAGGTCCCCTTCGCCCTCGATCAGGACGGCGCGGAGGCGGTGGTGTTGAACGTGGAGCCCGGCAAGTTCATCGCCACCACGCTGCTCAACGTCCAGGTCGAGGTGGACTGCATTCGGGTGACCATCAAGGGGAAATTGCTGCAAATCCCGCTGGAGGCGGAGGTTTCGCCCGACAAGGCCCGCGTCCAGCGCTCGGTCACGACGGGGGAGCTGAAAATCACGGTGCCGTTTGCGGAGGCCGAGCTCGAGGCCCGAAGCCGACGCGGCGACCGGCGATGGAAGGCTCGATTCGCCGCGAAGGAGGCGGAAAAGGCGCGAGAGGACTCCCATTTTTTATCGAAGGTCGGGGGATGGGGTGAGGATAAGGACGAAAAGGAGAACGGCCTATCGCGAACGCCCACGACGCCAGCGGCCGCCCCGGCTTGCGGTAAGGTTGCGCCGGAGCTGGGAGCCGCATCGCAAAAAGAAAATTTACGCACGGCTTTGCTTTTTCCTGAGGATTTGCCAAAGGGAGGGTCTACGGGGTTCGGCTTGTCTGGGGATCATCCACCAAATTCGGATCCACCGCGGCAGTTGATCAAAGAATTAAATACGTTTCCACAACCCGATACGGAGTTAAAGGAGAAGGCGTACACGCTGCTGGAGTTGGACTAATTAGGTATGGTGAAGTCCATACTTGAATAGGTGTGCGCTGAGTTTAATTCAAGAATGCAGTCACTTGAACCTTTTTGCGTGTTTCTAGAAGCTGAGGAGTAGATGGGGGGTTTTCAGAAGACATTGAAAATGAAATATATGTATATCAAATCAGTCTATCTGTCTGTTCATTGGTGTGATACGGGGGACTTTGCTTGTGTGGATTTGGATGCAGCCACTCGATTCCCCTTTTCACTCTCGTGTTTTCTGTGTTCACTTTATACGTAATATGATTTTGCAAAACCAAGGGTAGCCTTTTGAAAACATCGCTTTTAAACCTATTTTTTATTTGTCTTTTTGTTAGTCTTTGGATAGTTATTAAGAGGAAGTGACGTTGTTGGGTGATCTTACTACTACAAGCACAAACAACTACGATGGAGCAATTAATTGGAGTGATTAACGAACTTCATGATGCGTTTGCGAATGTGAAGATTAACATTAAACTGAACCTTCCCCAGATCGCGGTGGTGGGTTCCCAAAGCTGTGGGAAAAGTTCCGTTCTAGAATCCATTGTGGGCAAAGACTTCTTGCCCAGGGGCTCCGGCATCGTGACGCGATGCCCGCTCGTTTTGCAGCTCATCCAACTTTCCAAGAACAACCACGAGGAGTGGGGTGAGTTTCTGCACATCCCGAATAAAAAATTTTTCGTCTTCTCCGATATCCGAAATGAGATCGCCCGGCGGACGACCGAGGTCGCGGGGCCTTCCGCCATCACGGATAAACCGATTAACCTAAAGGTCTACTCCGCGCACGTTCTAAACCTCACGATGGTGGACCTACCTGGGCTTGTGATGAACGCGGTGGGGGATCAGCCGAAGGATATTGATCGTCAAATCAAGGAGATGGTGACGCGGTATGTCGCCCCGAAAAATACCATCATTTTAGCCATTTCCCCCGCCAACACCGACCTCGCTACGAGCCAATCGCTCCGCCTTGCGCATCAACTCGATCCGGATGGCAATCGAACGGTGGGGGTGCTCACCAAACTCGATTTGATGGATCGCGGGACGGATTGCTATGATGTGTTGACCAATAAAGTGCTCCCCCTTCGCCACGGATTTGTCGGGGTGATCTGCCGAAGTCAGCAGGATATTAACACCGAGAAGGGCATGAATGAGGCCCGCGCGTCGGAGCAGGAGTTTTTTCTCAACTCCAGCGTCTACGCCCCGATCGCGAATGAGCAGGGCACCACCTATCTTAGCAAAAAATTAAATGTTCTGCTTCTGGACCACATCCGCTCCGTCATTCCGGACCTTAAACTTCACATCGAGCGTTTGATGGAGGGAACCACCAAACAAATGGAAAAGTTGGGGATGTTTGACCAGGGCAACATCGAGCCCAGCGCGCAGTTGCTTTCGCTAATTAAGCAATTTAGCGATAAGCTCAACCAAACCATCGATGGAGGGGCCACGGATGCGAGCAAGGAACTTCTCGGGGGGGCCCGGCTGGATTACATCTTCCACGAGTGTTTTGCGGCCTACGTCACGAGTCTTTCGGCCCGAAAGGACCTGACGGATGAGTATATTCGCATTAATACGCGAAATATGGCCGGCATGCACGCCACCCTCTTCCCATCCGACCAGGTTTTCGTTGCCCTTTCCAAACAGCAGGTCGGGCGGCTGGAGGAGCCCTCGCTGAAGTGCGTGACCTTCGTTTACGAGGAGCTCATCAAAATCGTCGAGATCTGCGCGGGAAAGGTGGAGCGTTTTCAGAAACTCAAGCAGGCGGTAATTGGGATTTGCCAGTCGATGTTGATGGAATATCGTGGGCCGACGTCCAATCACGTCCGCACCATCATCAGCGCCGAGCGCGGGTTTATTAATGTCAAACATCCCCAGATGGAGGAGCTCGCGCAGCGCGCCTTTTTAAACATGTACGGCGACCACGCGAAAAGCAAGGGCGGAAAAGGGGACGGCTCGGACGAGGTAAACGGCAATACCGAAAAGAGCGGAAAAGAAGAAAAAAACAAGGATAAGGATAAGGATAAGGACGGGAAAAAGTATGAAAAAAACAAAGAAAAAGGCATCATCGACTCCCTCGCCGCGCAGGGGGATAAGGGGAATATGAACGACGTGCCGAGCCGGATTTTGCTCGGGAACAGCATGACAGTGCATGAAAAGCACATTAATAATGCGATTCGTGAGATGGTGGAAGGGTATTTTAACATAGTAAAAGGCAACATTTCGGATCAAGTGCCGAAGGCGATTACTTTGCTCATGGTCACGCGGCTGCGCGAGGAGGTTTATGCCCGCCTGGTGCGCGAGCTGTACTCAGAGAAGACGGCGAAGGAGCTCCTCGCGGAGAATCCCAACGTTGCGGCCCAACGTAAGGCGACCAAGGAAATGATGGAGGCGCTTACCAAGGCCCAAAACGCCCTCAACAATGTCAGAGAATATTCCTTGATTATATAAATTACTTAACTTTGTCGGTGAGTCGATGTATTTTGGTGTTGCTTGCTACCGATCGTGTTAAAAGATAGGGGGAAAAAAAAGAAAGAAAGGAGAGGAACACAAAAATTCAATGTCATTAATCTGAAGCTGATGTACGTAAACTAATATTTATCTTTCTATCCGTTTTCCTTTTTTAGGATGAATATTCGTTAGTACACATACTAACACGTGATATGAAAAGAGGAGGATCGGGTTGAGCTACGGTAAAAGCGGAGCATTTTAGTTTGTCTGGAGAATCAAAATATTAAATCTGAAGGCTAAACGTACAGGTTATTTTGGTTAATATTTGCTATGTAGGATAAGAGAATTTCTAGAATGTATGAAACACTCATTTGAATTCTTAATTGATAATTATGCTACTATTATTGCAAATAGAATTTTCACCCCTGAGTATGATTTATACAATGATTTGTACAGTGGCTTATTATATACATCCACTATGTTTACAGATTTGAGATCTATTTGCATTGTTTTTGAATCACACACTAAACTGATCTTTTCTATTTTAAAAGATTTTTACTATTATCTTTACTGTTTCCTTCCTGTATTAAAAAAAGCGCATAGTAAATTTTTACCTTGAGTCTGGATGAGTTTTTTTAATCTTCCTTAGGGATTCAAAGTAAAAGATTGTAGTTTCGTTACATTGCAACTAACATGTTATGCTCCCTATTTTTCATTTTAAAAAATATTTTCACCACACAGAAGAAAAAAATGTATCCTTAGGAAAAAAAGGGGTTTATAAACATTTTTTTTCCCTCTTTCACGTCTTAATCTATCATTTCAGGCACTTGGGGAGACTCCGGTGTATCGATTATCATTTACAGCGAGTTGAGGCATAGCGTCTGACTTAAGTTGGAATAACACACACACACACACAAACAACAACAAAAGCGGTGCTCTAACAGAAGGATACTTCATAGGGTTATGGAAAACTTGTGATGATAGTATATCGTTGTTCAGTTTTATGACTATGGAGTGATGTCGTGCAAAATCATTTTTGGTATCTCTGTGAGAGAGAGGCTTCGTTTCATAACACACTCCCTATGCTAGAGCACCCTCAAAGAGGAAGTAGCGACCTATGTGGGGGTATCCCAGACAGGCCGTGGGGCTGTAATTCTCTATTTACAGGGTGTGGCTGGGATCGAATTCGCTAATGAAAAACGGAGGATAATTTTTATGAGCTTTGCCATCAGGTGATTATAAAAGTCGACGTTGTGGAGGCCTAAAGGATGTATGGCGAGAGGCCTGCACGGATGCGGAGGTGCACGATATTATGGCTTCAGACTAGTACAGCTTAGGTTTGAGCGTATATCGAAGTACACAAGTGCGAACTTGAGTAAGACGTTGTACACCCGGCGCAATGATGATGATTCTCTTGGACACGCACTTCTAGTTTTCTACACTGTTATGAACGCTGTGCAGCTCGTACGGGTTTCTTTTTCTTACTTTGGGCGAAAAAACCGTAGAAAAATTATAGTATTTTTCTCCTCTCTTCCGTAAATCCTTTCCGTTTTCATCATTTCGAACCTGCTTTCCGGGCTCTGCAGTTGAACAGGCGGGACTTCCTTTGTCTCATCCATGCAATAACACCACGAATTACAAAGATTAGGGTGCTGCGTAGATATGTTGAACTGGAATTTAGAGATTATTTTGATTATCAAACGTTTTGCTTATCCTTTTCATGTTTAGCATCACAATTTTAGTTTATTATTTATTTTAATAGCTTTTTTCCCCTCTTTTCCATCTTAAGCTCATTATCGCTATCCAACTCGCAAAGGGAGGAGGGCCAACTTGATTCATCACATACAATATATAAGTCGCAATTAATAATAAAAAGAAAGCGCTTCACTTTTTTTTGCCTTTTTTCTCAGAACTCATTTTCTCATTGGGTTAGTTTAGTGATACTCTGTGTTGTAATACTTTTCACGACGACGTTTCGACCGACCACGAAGCTGAGCGCTGCTAGGATGTGGTCCTGTCCCGTCAGTGTGTTCTCGCGAATCCGTCCACCGCGGGGTTTTCTTTATTACCACCTTTTGAGCCCCCACCCCCACGCGAAGGCGCTTTTACGGACCGTCGCGCCCACCGCGTTGGCCGGGCGGCCCTTCGGGGGGTGGCGCGGCCCCCAATGGTGGGGCTGCCGCCTTCGTTCGTCGGCCCCGCGGCCCCGGGGG